CCCCAAAACCCCAAAACCCCAAAACCCCATCTATGAATATAACTCAAATTAAGAGTAAATCTTTATTGATTCAAGTTATATAAAAAATAATAAAATTAGTAATTGCTATTAACCAAAAGCGCTATTGGTATTCTACCATCAAATCTTGTAGGAATCAGCACATGACTCACATAAATCAAACTAACTTATGCTGTCATGATAAACAATTGTATAAATATCGATAATAGCCTTACCATCCAATTCACAACCTTTGAAAGTTCCACAATCACATACCCATCCTAAACCGTAGAGATCAGATTTAGTTTCCATTAGTTGGCCATAGGTTAATTTTTCAAGTGAATGGTCATGAACATTTTCTAGTAACTAAAAGCATTTCTAGCATAAATCAAAGCTACATTAATCACAATGGTATATTACTTCATCAGGATTATTGCTTATCTTACCTACACTTTTACATCCTGCAAACTGGTTACCTCTGCATATTAACCCTTCATTGTAAGCTTTTTTCTTGTATTGTTCTTTTAATTTCTTCAAAGTAGTCATAGTCAGTGGATTTTTATTTATTTTAACTCTAACCACTTTTGCAGGTTGTTGTTCTAATATCATTATTTTCAGTTCTCCAAACTTATTAGAAACGAGTTCAGTTAAGTTTTTATTGATTTTATCTATAGATGATTCCATTTTTTCAGAATCTTCTATTTGCTTAGTCTTGATACTTTTTATTTCATTGATCACATGATTTTCGATCTCCTTTAAAATAGCTGACTCACTAATTGAATCTTCAATTTTTTCAAGATCATTGATTAGGATTATATACTTGTTTTAAGCATAATAATCATTCATCTTCCATTCTGGTACTAAATAAGAATTTTCCAATATCATAGATGCCATTTCTTAGTATACTGCTTGTTCAGCCATTCCATTAACTCTAGCAAAAGATTCTGAAATAATTGCAATCAAAAGATTAAGCATTACTATCATATTGAAAATAGTACAAAGTAGAAATAATGTCATTGCCAATGAGACTGCAACATCTCCAAACTTATCAGTTTCAAAATCTCCTAATATCATTTTATATGTAAAAATGATTGAATCTATAAATCCAGTTGTAAATCTTTTCTCTGTATCTTAATTGGCATTTGCAATTTTCAAAAATGAATCTCCAAAAGCAACTATCGTAATCAAAAGCACAATGAAGAAGTATCTCATATCAGAAATAACTTCGAAAATCATTCTAATCAAATATCCAGTCCTTTTATATATTCTCAGGAAATAAAGGAATTTAAACCACATAAAGAAAGTAACAATAGACTATATGCTTCTCTCTAAATCTTCTCCATATTAAATTCCGTAATCATTTAGTACTGCAGATACAACAAACACATAGATTCCTATCGGAGGAATGATATCAATGTAATTCCATAAATCTGTGAAATAGTCTGACCCAGATTGGAGTTGCTTTAACTCGTTCAACAAAAAATAGGAGGCAAAAAGAGCATTTAAGATTAGCAAAGGATAATAGACTTAATCATAGCCAGAGTTGAATCTATTGTCATAAATGAAATTCATAAAAATCACAAAGCTGATATGGAAGAAACAAAATGGTATGAATAGTTTTTTTATGAGGTATTCTTTTACCAGCGGATAATTTAATTCTATCAGTTTTTTTATTACTTTATTATTGAAATAGTCGGAGTAAGCAGTCTCAGAAAGTTGTTTGAAAAAGTCGTAGAAATTTTCATCTTTCATGTGGTAAATTCCAGGTATATCAAGAATCTCACATTTAATTCTAGATTCAATAGTCTCATTTGAAAATATCTACTTTTTAAATGATTCTTCATTAAACCATAAATCTTCTATAATTATTTCAGGGTAATCTGGCTTTAGTGTTCCCCTAGCTATCTACTCCAATTATTGAGTTTGTTTTATTCTAGAATCAAAATAGTCTAATGAACTAGCAAGATTTAGCTCAATAAATTTAGGATAGAGATCTTTAATTGCTCGAGAATGATGATCGATTGGGTATAAACTAAGACATTTAAGCAGGGCGTCTATACTTCTTAGGGCTTATTTTTAGATGCAGATATGTATTGGTGACAATCCCTCTAAGTTGGAAATGAATGGCATATGAAATCTTATTACTTTTCCCAAAGGGTGAGCTACTTCTAGCAGCTTTATTAATTCTTCATGCTAATCGCAAAGTAAATGAAGAACAGTATTTCCACCAGGAAGAATATTTAGAAGAATTTCTTGTAAAATGTTTTCTTAAAGTTCTTCTATCTTTAACTTTCCTTTTACTAATTATTCTATCAAACTCCAATGAGCGAAGGAGAAGGAAGTAATGCTACTCTCTCCATCATCCTCTAATTTAAACATATTTGGAGTGATTTGGTATGATTTTTACTTGCCTTCTAATAAATATAAGGATTTATAATTCTGATATGACTATTTATTCAAGCAAATTGTTTTAAAATAGCTAGGCTGGAATAGGTAGTAAGGGGTCTTTTCATAATCCATTTCATCAATTTCTTTGAATAATGGAATATAATTAAATCCAAGCTATTAGAATCCATTATCAATATGTACCATTTTTTCAATGCCATCTTCACTAACAATTTTAAAAGTTTCATCATCAATGAACATAAACCTGTTAATTACAAAGAGTGGATTTTAATCACTATTTACATTCATTAGATCTTGAGGTATCTGATAAAGCATAAGACCAGTATTAAAATCTTTAATGAGAAACTAAGACTTAGACTAGTCCAGTGTGACATATCTTAAAAAGTTTGGAGAAAAAAAATGTGGTTGATCTTAGAAAAGGTGATCACCAATGAATTCTGTAGGAAAATCATGAATGTTTCTTATGAGTTCAAGTTTAACTCTGTTCGAAAAGTTGCTTTCTTTTTAAAACTAATACAGAATACATCTAAAGCTTGAGAACTATACGAACAATTTTTTCGTATCCTTACTTACATACATCCTTTGGAATTCCTCATACAAGGGATAGTCAAAATCTAAAATCTCAGTAATTTCTCTTTAATTTTTAATTCCAATCAGCTTGAAGTTATTTAATGTAAATTTCCTGTCTAGCAATAAGGTACCTGATAGGGTAAGTTCTTTTTCAACTACCAGGGTTAAAAGTAATCAATTATATAGCTTTCAGATATTGGTTTTCTTGATACAATAAGTGCTGCTTCTCTATTCTTTTTATCAAATCTTTTATATTAACTATAATCAATTCCTTCAAGTTGATTCTTTTCATATACCTTCGTAGATATCAAATCCCAAGATTTAAGTGAACCATTGAATTTCAAAGCAATCAATTTATCTCCAACTATTCTATATGTTATGTAAGAAGACTCTTAGTCGAATCCCATAAAATCAACATAAGCATGATGAAGTGTAGGAAAAATCAAAGCAGTAGTGATCGATTAT